TATTTTCTTTATTTTTCTTCTCACTCTTAAAAAAAAGAATTTATAAAGCATACTTGATTACTTATTCTTCACTTGCTTACTTGCTGGTTTTCTTAACCTGTAAAAGAATTATAAAGTAGTAATATATTAATAAGTATATATAATAATACTCTATATTTACTACTCATATATTTTTCATCTTTGGGTTGCAATAGTCAGATCTTTTTTTATTACTATTGATACTAATATGATTAAATTATTAATTATCAAGAATATATTCACTATGCTCTACTATTTGATGATATTCTTGATCATGTGCAAATATTTGTTACTTGGATTTTAATTATTAAATAAATCTAGCTGTATCTGATTGAATCATATTCAGTAAATTAATATGTTATAAAAGTTATTATTAATAGTTAGAAGATAGGTTATATTGCATTATTTTTTACATCTGTATAGCTCTGATTTGTATTGAGTTTTCATAGTTCATTGATCCTTTCTAAACAGTCTTCCTTTTATTAATAACTATTATTCAGTATGTTTTATTTTAAAATAGTAATATTAATACTATTAACACAAATTCTAAATAATTTTTTATGCTAATAAATATAGTATACATATATGTATTTATTTGTCAATATATAGTAAGTTTGCTTAAGGAATTTAATAATTTTAATTAACATAAATATGCATGGAATCAAAGAGTAGGAGTAAGATATCACAAATAATAAATAGTTTTTGCAATCCTCTTAGTTATATAGACAATACATATTTATGCTATTAATATAATTTAATTGATTTTTAAACTACATAATTTTTTAAATATCTATTACTGATATTATTCTGAAGCATACAGTGCTCATTATAAATAATGAGAATTTAATTTAATATGAACTATATATATAAATTTTCTATTTATATACCTCCAATAACATCAACTTTTAATAATAGTTTGTTTATATGTGTAACTTAAAAACAAGTCACAAAAAAAATTCTTCTCTATTTAGTCTCCATTACTTTTTTTTACTGCAAAATGGACAAGATTCCTCTTGCTAACTGATAAAAGATTGTAAGTAAGCTTTAGAGTCATGATATTCATGACATCCCAATTCTGGCAAAATTAAATGATACCTCCTCTTCTATAATATACAAGTATATTACTCAACTAAAAAAAAATCATAAACTTAAACCTATTTCACATCCTGAATATCTAATAATCTTAACTCCCCCAAATTATTACATGTTAGAAAGAATTATTCAAAATGATCAATATCTTACCTGCAGAGAAATTGTCACTAAGCCTAATAGTATGGTCAAAATATTAGCATGAACAGTAAACTGTGAACTTAATAAGCTTGGTTACCACTCAAGTCACTCCAAAACAGTGCCTTTACTTACTGAGAAATAATGTGAACACCATGTGGAATGGGTGACTGCTCATGCAAGGCAAAACTGGAAAAATGTTGTATTTTCAGACAAAACTACATTTCAGATGTTTTATAACACTATGACTGCATTCTACAAGGCTGGTACAGATGTTCCACAAAAGGGGGTTCCAAAACATCCTGCAAAAGTTCATGCGTGGGGTGCTTTCTTGGTATGGGGAATGATTGGTTTTCATATTTTCACTCAGAATATGGATGAATCGCTTTACCGTGACATTTTAACTAATAATCTTTTTGAGAATGCATCTAGGGTTATGCCATTACGCTGGGTCTTCCAATGGGACAATGACCCAAAGCACATGGTAAAAGAAACCACAAAACTCCTTCATTGTCAAGTCCCGAAGATCCTCAATTGGCCCTCCTATAGCCTGGATTTAAACCCAATAGAGAATTTATGGGCTATTATCAAGAAAAGGGTGGAGAAACAAGTGAACAAAATAATCAGGAAAAAAAATCAGCATTACGGACTGGCATGAGATAATTTGAGAAGAATGGGAGGGTATTTTTCCGTGGACCTATGTCTTAATTTGGCAAACGGCATGTCAGGGCAGTTAAACGACGTTATTGAAAATAATGGGAAAAAAATCGATCATTAGTGTATATAATTTTTTTTATAGACACTATACTGATGTCATTGTAAAACCGCAACCCGAATAAATAAATTTTGCGAAATTTATATTCGAAAAACGATTCTCATTATTTATGATGAGCACTGTAAATAGAATTCATGTTTCAATCTGTCAAATTGTCTGTATGCATATTTGATGTCATCAAACTTTAATTACTAGCACTTTAGCTTGGTATTAAACAATTATCACATTTAAAAAAGCACGTTTTAGTTCATATTACACTAGATCTGATTATGAATTGAGAAATTTAAATTTTATTCGTGCTGGAATCCGAGGTTCCTATACGGGTTTAATTGTGTATCGGTTGCAGGCAATTAATAATTAACTCCCGATTGATGTTTAACCACGGCAATCTTTGCGCAGTTACAATAGAAACCAACATCAACATGGAAAAACATACTCTTTATAATGAAACTTTTTCTATATTAGAAGCTTATTAATAAATTAACGACGCGTAAAGTCTACAAAAGCTAGCACATTTATTACAATCGATTTCAAATTTTTACCTGTACTTTAGATCACAGATGAAGCCGTCCTTGTTCAACATTCATAAACTTCTGCAGGATTTGAGGCAAGCTAATAAAAAAGAATATTTTTAGATAAGTTTATACTGCATGTAATACTGTAATTTTGAATAGATAAATTAATTTGTCAACACCTCTTGCCCGGTTTGCTACTTTTTATCTAAAGCCAATAGTTTTTTTATTCTGATTTTTCAGAAAATGCGTTTGTATTTTTCAAAAAGGCGTGGAATTTCTTTGCCACGAGAAAAATCTGTTAGCTTCCAAGAATATGATTGTCAGTAGAAACCTATAAATATTCGTGTCGGTCGTTATTCCCTTGATCCCTAGAAATAATTACAAATTCCTATCAAATTCACATTTTGTGTTATACATAATGAATTTATTTTTCAATAGTTCTATTCTTGCCGTAGTAACGTTAAATCTCGTAATTCCCTTAAATTTCTTAAATAAGAATATTATTTTTTGGAATAATTAGCCGTCATTAATAGGAACGTTTGTTTAACGTCCGTAGACATTATCGTTATTATTAAACTACCCCAAGTTTAATATTTTACGATCAACCTTGATATCGTTACCGTAGTAACTTTAGAATTCGTGAGTTCATAGTCCCCCGTAATTTTTGCGACACGGATACTTCCGCTATTTTTGCTTGGACTAATATCTAACACCGTTTCGTGAGTTTATTTATTTCTTATTCGTGAGCAATATTGTGCTGTTACCATTATTTCGATAATTTCTCTAATTCCAAAAATTTGGCAAGATCAGCAGCAGTACTACATACGTTTAATAAAATTCCTCAAAATGCTATTAATATTTCATATCTTGCGATTTGATTGGTTTACCCCCTCAACCCTAGTCACAAACAAAATTCACTAAATCCACCCACATATACATTTACTTATGACAGTCAACATTCACGTATCGCAGCCAAAAATCCACCTTATATATCAGAAACACATGCATATAATCATATTAAATGGTGCGAAGAAAATAAAACAAATCAATTTATGTTTAGGCGAAAATCTTATTCTCTTGACGAAACAAGTATTTAAATTGGCAAGCGAACCTGACAATTAAGAATTTGATGACATGCTCGAGAAAAGTTTGATACAGATTGTTTGGCGCCTACTTTTAAAAGTGAACAAAAAACTGCGATTGTTTGGAATGTTTCATGGAGAGAATAAAAGCACCTTTAGTATTTTGTGATGAATATAAGAAAAAATAAATGCAAATAAATGTCTTGAAATTCTAAAACCTATCTTAGTAAATTTTCAGCAAGATAACGCGCCGAACCCACAAGGCTGGAAAATCGAAAATTTAACTATTTAGAGGGGTTATTAATTCAATGCCGAAGAATTAACGCGGTATTAGACTCGAACGGAGGATGACTAAATATTGATCATGTTTAATGTATAATTTGGTTAAATAAAATAAATCGGGAAATTTATAAAAAAAATTTTATTTGAGGATACTGTAAAAGCATATTTTAAAAGCATATTGTTTGGAACCTATCCTATCCTTTTAAATTTCTGGTAATATTCAACTTCCATGACTTACAATACATAAGATAATGGGATATTATGGTGAGGGAAGGGGTATTGTGTAGATATCAAGCTTTTACATAATAACCTGAATGATCGAGTATAGCATCTCTAAATGCATGGAATGGTAAAATTATGGTCGGGATTTCGTTTGTCGGACATATTAATTGGCGGGGAAGTTACGTCACCGAGACCTATGATGGGTTTGATACAACATTCCGATATTCAAATTCCGACATCCAAATGTTAACATATGTATATCGGTAAGAATTTATTTAGTATAGTCCGAATTCAGAATTCGTGGCATATGAGTGTCAGGATTTAGGGATGTCGGATGGGATACGAGTCGCTCTTGTAAAATGAAAAAAAGATCACCATATGTATTTTTTGTGGCTCACCTAACACATTATTCCCGACAATCCAACATACCCAATTTCCCGCCAAACCCAACTTCCAGACATAACCAGAAATTGGACTAGTTTTGCTGGGATGTTGGAAAGTTAGGTTTGGAATTCCGGGAAGTTGGATTGGCGAGATGTTAGGCTGTCGGGAAATTGGATTGTCGGAAAGATGGAGGAATTTTCGGGAAGATAAGTGTCTGGATGTTGGGGGTAGTTCCATTTTTGTACGTTGAGAAACTTGAAGCTGGCTTGTCTAACAAAACTTGCAATTGTGATTGATTATCTTGCACGCATTCATTAAAAAGGAAATCTCTTTGTTTCATAATAGGTTAGTTGTTTTTTGTGGAATGTACGACTTCATATACAGTTTTATTCATATTAGAAATTACATAAACCTATAAAAAGATATTAAGTCGGACAAATATATATTTAATAATGGTTCACTGTTTTGTGGGAAACTTTGATGATTAAACTCCCAATGATCGCCCAGCAAACATTTGATGTTGTCATTGTAGGTGGTGGTGTTGCAGGATTATGCACAGCAATCAGACTAGCACAATTATTTAACTCGGCAGTCGCAACTTGGAGGAAAATTCTAGTTATCGATGAGAAGGCACCAAACTCCGAAACGTTTAAAGTTGGTGAGTCCCTGCCTGGGGAAGCAAAACCCATACTTCAGTCATTAGATGTGCTTGAAGCAATAAATAATGATATAATGCAAGGTATAGATTGATGTCTAAGCAATTGTTTTATGACAGCAATTCACGCACATCTGACATTGCAATTTTATATCACATTGGTTTAATAAGGAAAGCATCATTTTTGTTACGGAAATTGCTCTTTATGGGGATCTGATGAACTGATGGGTACGGACACGATATTCAACGCCTATGGTAATGGATTTCATTTAGATCGGCTTCTGTTTGAAGAAACACTACTTAAAACTGCAGAAGTACAACACGGGCAATTTATTACAATTATGCGTAATTCCAAGGTGACTGAATTACTTCTCGTAAAAGATATTGATCATAATGATACATATTGGAAGATTACAACTTCAAGTGACGGTAAGCCTATTATTTCCTTTTTTTGATGTCAATATCAGATCATAAAGTTTTATTTCTTATATTATTACTAGAGTCAACCAACCCTCTCCAAATGCATGGAAGCATACTTATCGATGCGAGTGGTCGTCGTTGCTGCATCAAAAAATATTTACCTGACTTAAAGCGCCGTTGTTTCGACAAGTTGTTAGCCTTTGCATGTCTATATGAAACTGACTATGATATATCATATGAGACTCAATCAGCAGATTTGGACAACCATACCCTTGTAGAATCCTGTGCTTTCGGATGGTGGTACACAAGTCGGTTGCCCAGAAAGCAACGTATCGTTGTTTTTCATACTGACGATGATCTACTTCATAGAATTAATAAAAAGATCAGGCTAGTTGAAGAGTTTAATGAATTTATGAAGGATACTACTGTGCATACTGCCAAACGCATAAGCGAGCATTCGTATCGTCCCGTGAAAAAAAGAGTCATGTGCATGTCCGCAAATTCGGCAAGCCTTTCCCAGTTTGGTAAGTAATTAATTTTATCATACATTAAAAAACATTAACATTTAAACAATTTTATCATACATTAAAAAGAATCAACATTTAAACTATGTCCCAAATCAGCATCCTGTGAAAATCGATGGATAGCAATTGGAGATAGTGCCGCTTCTTTTGACCCACTTTCATCTCGAGGAATGCTTACTGCTCTATATAGTGCAAGGCTCGGGGCAGAATCAATATTTTTTCAATATTTTAATGGCAAAGAGATAAAAAACAAAAGAAAAGTTACTCAGCCCTTAGAGATCTATCAGCAATACATCGAGAACACATTTTATAGATATATGAAAGAGAAAAGATTTTTTTATAGCAAGGAGCAAAGATGGAATAATGAAATATTTTGGAAACGACGACACGAAGAACACATAGAGGTGTGAAGGAGACGTCACAAGAGCTATGCCTCACCATTGCAGATTCCATAAATTTTTATAATTATTTATACACTTTTTTTCCATATCATTTTGTCTTTCACAATTTGTTTTTTATTTGATAAGATTTGAATTTATATAAATTAAATAAAATTTATTTACAATATTTTTACAATAGTAAGTTCAGGAATCTCATGATCTTTAAGGAGTAAACCAACCAAAACGCAAGATCAATGTGTAAAGGAAATATTCATTTTGAAAAATGACTTTATCTCGAAATTTGCCTAACAAAAATGTTTCTTGTGAAAAAATTTATTATATCTTTGTTATAACGCAAGCTTAACACTAACTCTAACCCTATCCTAATTCTAATCGAAATATTATTGTTTCGTAGGTGGGACAATGGTTATGGTGGCTACCATAACTACCAAAACTACCATAACCACGAAACCGAAGGAACATGTGCATAAAGTGCATGTTTCATAGGTAGACTTAAAATAACATGACTAATATCACGTGGCACGAGCTTTTGGGATCTTCCTATTGGCATTAACTTTCAGATAACCTAGCCATGGCAAAAAAAAGTTACGGATCATGTGGATAAACCAATCAAATCGTAAGATATGAAATGTGCGTTTTATTAAGGTTAGGGTTAGAGTCAGAGTTAAGATTATATTGTATATTACGCGCAGAAGTAAATATAGTAAAATTTCGCAAGGAACATTTTTTGTTAGAACACAGAAAGCAGTTTCATAACGATACATTTGTTTGCATTTTGTTTTGAATTTTTCCGTTACAAATTAATAATTGGTTTACCTTCTAAAAATCACATGATCCGTAACATTTTTTCCTTTTTTTCTTTTTTTCGCCATGGCTAAATTTATATAATTTTGAAGCTAATCTAAAAATCTATTTACAACGCACACAGATCCAATATTCTTATATCTTATAATTCATATTCATGTTTTGTAATAAAGCAAGGTAAAATTCGCAATAATCGGTTAGACCAGTTGATCGCATGGTAAAAACCCGCTTTGTATTAGTTATGTCAGGTGAAAATTGCATCAGCCAAATGAAAATTGAATGTAGATGTATATGTACTAATTTCTGGTTGGTTCAGCCCGATTTTAAGTTCAAAATTAGGGTCAAGGTTAGTTATAAAAGAAAAAAATTATACGTGGAATTATCTCATTAACATTTTTAATTAATACTTCGGGTTAAATTTAAGGATTCGTTTTCATTTTTACTTCTTTAATTTTTTATATTGGCTAGTAATAAAAAGCGAGTTTCACCATGAGATCATGATTGCTGCGTAATTTACTGAATCTTATTATTGCGGATTTCCCGATTATTGCGAATTTTACCTTACCTTTTTTTATAGTGTATTTCAACTGTCGTGTAATCTACTTTTACAGAATTCTTTATTTTGCTCAAAACAAAATGACTTTTTGTTTTCAATCAAATGACTTCTATGATGCATAAACTGATTCCCGATTCGCTTCTTCTACTTAGATGGGATTTTTTTTATTAATTGATTATTTTCTAATCATTTGGTATGAACTTTCTATTGACCTTGTGAAGAAAATCTTATCTGTGTGAAAAACAATGATATATTGCTTTCTTGGCAACTGGCAACTGACCTCAAGGGTATAGCAATTATCAAGCATTGGATTTTCTTATGATTGAAGCAAAGAAATAAATACCAGCGAACCTGCTTATTGTAACTGAACGCAATGGATTTTTTGCCAAATATACTTAAAAGCTTTCTTTTTGTGGATCCACCCTACGACAGCGATAATGGTAATGGTTTGACGTCTTACACGGCGGATAAATTTACCGTTATCCAAAACTGCTGATTGAGTCTCAAATAGACATGCAAAGACTAGTCTGGTAAATATTTCTGATGCAGCAGAGACAATACAACTTTAAATTATCAATTTATAATGAATCATTTTATTGAATATATATTTTTCACAACATATTGTCTACGTAAATTTCATATGTAAATAAAATTGAAATACAAAACCTTTACATTCCAAATCATATGACTTACGTATTGAGATAAAGAGATTCCCTTTTTAGTGTGATAGTCACATATAGATCATCACAAATTTCATGTACACGTACTTCGATATCTACATATGGATAATTACTAACCCAATATAATAACTGCCTATATACCTAATAAGGGATATTTTTGATTTAAAGTTCCCGCCCTCTGATCGATAACTAGGGTCTCGACCGTGCACAGCCCTACATGTACAACTTTTCTGACATTAGTAAAGTTCAAATCTTGAAAATCTGTTTCTTTACACAATTATTCTGGTTTAATGGGCTGCATAAATGCTATTATATATATATATCGTCAAAACTGAGGTCTTATAGTTTAACAGAATATTTCTCATTCATTTATAATGGCTAATGAGATAAAATCGTTCGGAATTTTCCCAGCTCTCAATGTCGCACGTCTTGGTAATGCCGAAGAATATTATATAGGGTCTGAAATTCCCGGCGTTTATGTTGGAGGTAACTTGAACAAATCGTTGAAATTATAATTCTAGTTTATAGAATTTCCGTATATTAAATACTTAATATAAAGTATTTAATATATAATTTAAGAATTTCACCGGAATTTCTTCAAAAAACATGCATAACGTATATTTTCGGTAAAATTCCGGTATGCAGCAAGTAAAAAAAGAAGACATGCTGTATTATATGTAATGTTCTGAAAATACGTTGAGACCAAAAAATTAAAATGAACCGTATTTTATGAACATATAATACGTTATGAATTGCAAAAGATACTAAATTACTTTGAGTAGGCAAAAAATATTGTTTTCTTCTTTTTTATTTCAATATATCATGACTATTATTGTAATACAGAAGGTGACCCTGAATTCAAATTCAAGGATAAGAACGGTCGTGTGAAACCACAGGCCGCAAGGTTCAGAATCTATGGTTACAACGAGGAAAAAAAGATCATACGAGAGATCAAGCTTACTGATGCTGAGATGAAGGTGGAAATCCAATGGACCGTTGTACTTGCTAATAAGAAAGCAGCACATCAACAATTCTTAGGTATTAAGAATCGTGATCCGAATGGTCCTATGCGAAATGCGAGTACGTAAACCAAACCTACCTCGGATTTTCGCGACTATGCCACGCTAACTGAAGTTATAAATTATCTGTAGATTGGCCTTATGATAGGTCTACATTGGAGGCCATTTGTATGAAATCTTTATCAGCATCATCCGACAACAATTTTGAGGAGAAATGTGCGGAATTCAAAGCACGCGTTTATCGCCATTCTAACAACAACGACGATTCTAGCAACGGACATGAGTTATACTTGGGCAAGATGATACTCGAGAAAGAAGGAAGTTTGTTAATTATTGGTGGAAAAGGAGAGTCTGGGTGTGTAAAAAAGGGTTGGTATATCTTTGTATTCATAAAGACACGAATTAATCGCTCATGTTGCTTTGCTACTTTTTATATTTACCCAGGTGCCTTGATTACCCAGTATGCGAATAATGATTATTGGTACGATGACACTTCTGATGGCTCCATAGATGCCATTGTCAAAATAAACGGAAAACCACTCGAGCATATAGGTAAAGTATATGTATAACCGCAAAATCAAAGCATTCGTCATAACCCTGATTGAAACGAAACATTTAGAGGGAAAGGGAAAGGGAAAGTCGTGGGTTCTTGTGTCACCTCCAAAATTTGCACCAGGCATTTCCAACCTTGTGTCATTATATCAAACTATCTGGGAAACACAGCATCCGGATTATCCATTTAAGGTTAATATTACTTCATTTGTCCGTTGTATTATTACTTTGAAAAATTTGTTTTACAACGAGAAATTAAACATATTCGAATTCATGCATAATTCTAGCATAGAAAAGTAGAATATTACCGTGACATTTACCCGATCTTTGAAGCCATCTATAAACACTCTTGGGTCAATAAGATGGCTTTCATAGGTCACGGTGTAGACAAACCAGGCCATTTTTTAAAACCAGAGTTAGAAGATCTTTTGAAATATAATGATGAGAAAGACCCAATAAAATACCAGAAAGCAAAAGATTTAAGGTTTGTTTCCCTCCCACCTGTCTAAGCTGTTGTTTTGTCTGTTTACTTAATGAATATCTTGTCAATAAAAGGACAAACATCTTGTCTCGTATCCGAATACCTCCTGAAATCGCATCTACATTTGAATATGATGGTCAAGCTTATCCTTATTTTATGCCGCCTTTATCTGGAAATGCTGGAGATGCTACGCCCACTAATCCAGATACGTATTTGACTGTTACACGCGGTCAATATATGTAAGTATTCATATCGACTTTTATTCTTATTTAACTTTAGTTTGACATTTGTTTTTTTAGTCTTTTACAAAAGTGGGCCGAAGGGGATTTTGAAGTTGATGACGAACCACCCAAATATTCCTACGTGTTTAAAAACGATGCAGGTCCAATTGATGGATTTATTAATGTAACAAACGATGACCGGTACCCAAAGTATAAAAAGGATGCAGATCCTAGAGAGTACAGCTTTGAGGAAATTGTTACTGATCTTTCTGAACAGGTCAAATATCTCAACAAGGCTGCACTTGAATGGTGTGTTGGAGGTCCATTCTTTCCTGGAATTGAAATGACATATGTTGCCTATAACAAGGATACATTTGATGAGAAATATGAATTTAGGTAATACATGTACATGTTTCTGTCCATATTTATATTGAAATTTTAATCTGTATTCTATTGGTTCAGAATTAATTCCAATACTTCTCCCGGAGATATTAATGCATATTTGGCTTTACCTTGGCAAGCTGATTTTAATGAGTGTAATACACACTGGTGGCCAGCCCAAAGACCCGATATTGTGATTCCTGAAATAGGACCACTTTTCACGAAAAAAGCTGTAAGAGATATGGAAATCCCAGAAAAAGATCCGGTAATGATATTAATCCATATATTTTATAAAAGCACGCAACTTAAGGTTTTTTCCTTCGAACATAGAAAATTTCGTTAGATGACTTTGCGGAATGGACTCGTGGATTCAGAACAAATGAACCAGTTCGAGGTTTACCCAAATGGGGCGATTTAGATATGATAAGGGCATGGGATAGGTAAGTTTTAAAAGATTTTACGCTATTATACCTATAGCCTGTAATATAACATGCTTTGAACTATGCAGGTTAGGATTTGTTGTCGAGAAGCAAGTGGGGAACTTGAAAGCATTCGTTGAAGTCCAACGCGGCAATATTTACAAATTGAATGATCTTAAACCAGGTGACAAAACTCTAGATAGCGTGAGTTACCTTACCTTTATAATTTTAATGCGATGCTTGTTATTTCTATGCTCAAAAGCACTAACATAATCTTCTTACCAACAGCTTTATGAACTCCTTAAAATTGCATTACAGATTGAATTCTCAACTATCCCACCATATCTCTACTCCATGTATTCGATAAAACCAGGAACGAGCATTAGTGACGAAGTGAGAAATCATATTCGTAATGTTGTTGCAGAGGAAATGTTGCATTTGTCACTTGTAGCGAATCTTATTGTCGCTATTGGTATGCATTGAATAAGATTCAATACATTTTGGTTCAGGCAACATGTATGATGAACAAGTTTTTTCTTCACAGGACGTCAGCCTATATTTTATTCTCCTGAAGTGATTCCTTTTTATCCTAACCCTTTTCCTCACTTTCAGCAAGGTGAAAGTTTCATGGCTCAGACAAATTTCTAAAATGTTAACAATATTACTTCGAAAACAAAGCTCATCGATCACATTATCCAAATTTAGGTGAAATTATTCTTCACTTGTCAAAAGCAGACAAAAGCGCGCTAGAAACGTTTGTAAAGATTGAAGCACCTGAAAAAAGACCGTTAACTCAAGAAACAAAACTTACGGACGAAATCAATATAATTAGCGTAGGAGATCTTTATATGAAAATCGAGAGTTTGTTTATAGAACTCGACAAAGAAATAAATTATAATACACATTTTCAGGTAATTAGTCATTTTATCTTGGATCTTATTTGCTCATATTGATATATAATTGTTTTACGAATACAGCTTTGTCCTGGCATGGGTTACGCTCCAACCGCACATACACCAGAAGAAGGATTGATTGTTGTTAAAAATTTAAATGATGTCAAACGTGCTATTGACTTGATTATTATTCAGGTTTATCACCATCTAATTCGTGTAATTGACAATAATCTTATGATAATAATCTCACATGAAAAGCATGGTTTGACTTTATAGGGCGAAGGATCTCCCGAGAAAAGCGAAAATTCTTCCGGCGAAAGTAATAAAGACGAAAAACAAAAATCGCATTATCAAATATTCAAAGAATGTTTGAAATTGATCGATGAACAAAAATCTGATTATCATCTCTGGCCTGTTATGGAGGATCCACTGTCGACGTAAGTGAAAAGTGTCTTAAGAGTCTTTCTTTTTGCTTGTAATATAATAAAAACTGTTCGTAACAGATCATATACCGATCCAAACATCCTCGCCGCTGTCACAGCATTTAATGCTGCTTATTCTTATCTTTTGTTATTGTTACAAACTGTTTGGAGAACTGATGGTCAGAAGAAAAAGAATTTGATAATGGGAGGAATGCCAGCATTAATGCATGGTGTTTTAAAGCCTATTGCGACATTTCTTGCTGGTACGTATCCTTTAGTTGGATGAAACAATTGCTTGCAAACAATATATATAATTTATAAATATTTAACTCCCATTACCACTTAATAAGAAACTCCCATTTCCGCTGATACACATGCGGGCGCTACTTTCGAATATTACGAATTCACTCATGAGCCCAGTCCAAAACAGCAACTACTTACAGCTATCCAAGCGGCTTCTAAAGTCTTTCCGTATAATGACGCGTTGAAGGATTCGGTAAAAGCGGTTTCATCATTGCCGGATATTTTTTTGCCGATTTTTAACCAGACTTAAAGTTGGTTTATAATTTAATTGTTGGCAAACCCAAGAACTTGTGGCATTCTTAACCAAAGCTTTAAATAAAAGTTTTATAAATTAGATTCACAATTACCTTTTTTTATTTATTAGAGATCTTGAATCTGAAAGTAATTATGGACTATGCCCATAGTTACTAACCTATATCATAAATACCCATTTGATAGGCATCAGGAGGGAGAGAGGGAAGGATCTCTAAAGTAAAATGAAATGAATATCTGCACTGCCTTAATCATACTCCTAAATGCATAAATGCAAATTGACTTTGTGAAAAATTAATATGTGTGGTGATCTGACAAACATAATCTCGGCAATTCATATACCCAACAAACGACAGATCGGTTTAAAGGTCACATGATGATCCGACATCAAAAAAGCAGTTTAAGGTATGGTTTAAAGCTATGAATTCGGAAATAAGATTTATAATAGCAAAATCACACAAGGAGAATTTTTTTTGTTAAGAGCAAAGAATAGCTTATTTTAGGCTAAATTTTGAGATAAACATGATTTTTCGAAATGAGTATTTGTTTTGCATATAAAGAAAAAATTTTAATTTTTACTACATTTTATTAATAAATTTAGTCTCCAAGTTATTATTTTTGATTGTCATTATATAATTTTATTATTTGAAGAGTATTCAAATTTAAAGTTAATTTACAGAATAAATAGAGCTTATTTATAATGAAAGAAATAAATATAAATAATGAATAAATTAATAATGATTTCTATTTTAAAATATATATGGTTTAACAAAATTAATTAACTTAATTCATATTTCTAGAAGATAATTAATTATAATTCAATAATTATAAATATAATAAATAATAATATAAATAATAATAAATAAAAATAAGTAAAATTATAAAAGAATAATTAAAAAAAAATTTAATTAAAAATATTAATTATCTAAATTAATAATAAGAGTATATATAGTAATTATTTGTATAATAATATATTAAATCTAATATATTAAATATATAAATAATTATTTATATATTCAAAATGAAATTGATCTTTATAAAAAGTAATACAAAAACTAATCTTTTATACAGATAATATAAAAAAGATAATTTAATCAAAATTATTATATATCTCTTTACTTAAAGTATAATATTCTTATTATATTTAAATATATAATTTCTCAAAAATATTAATCTTCTTCATAATATTTTTTAAATTTTTAAGAAATTTTCAAGCAGAATCATAGAGAAAATAGTTAAGCTATTAACAAAATATTGGAATTTGTGATAATAAATTCTTTTATTAAGAATATTTTCAACTTTATATTCTTTTTTATTATTTAAGATAAAGATAACTAGTAATAATTAATATTTGTGATATTGATTATCTGGATTATACTTTTTTAATAATGATAAATAAAATACTAGATGAAATTTCATATTTATTAGTAGTTATAATTTGTAAATAATAAAAAATATTTTGTAATAATTTAAAGAGTTTAATAAATTTTGATATAAGCTTCTTGAGTATTCTTTATTTATTAATTAAAGTTTCTATATTATAAATAGAAAGAAGAATTTTATCTTCAAGATTGAATTTTTCAAATTTTCTATATTGATTTGCATATTTTGATTATTTTTCTTAAACTTTTAATAGCAAATTTTTGGCAGTTTTGATCATGATATTTTAATAATTTTATGAAGTTATAATATTATTTTATGATAATAAAATATTAATAGATATATAAGATATATATTCATAATTTAATTTAAAAAATATATAACTAATTGAAGTATTCTTGTCATTATTATAAGTGAATTTAGCAGCTATTAGATTTTTATTCTATTTATTTTATTAATAAGTTATATATATCCTAAGTATTTTTTCTAAAGTTCTATTTAATCTTTCTATTTGATTATTAATTTATAGATAAAAGATTATAAATATTATTAATTTAATATCTAGTTATTCAAAAAGTAACTTTTAAAAATAATTTGTAAATTTTATATTTCTATTTAATATTATAATTACAGATAAGCTATATAATTTAAAGATATTTTCAAAGAAAATCTTTGTAATATCAGATATAGTTACTATTATTATAATAAATATAAAGTATATTCTTTTTGATAGCTTATCTATAAATATAATTATTATATTATATTTAGATTTAGTAATAAATAACTAAATTATAAAATTTATAGTAATCTATTTTTATTTATATTTAAAAATAGCAAGAGATTAAAGTAATTCTAAGAGTTATTAATTATTATTAATATAATTTAAAATTAATAATATATTTATAAATACTTTTATTTATTTTTGATTAATAATATTATTGAAATATAATTATATATATTTTGGCAATTTCAATATATTTTGCTATTAATATATTATAAAGTTCAAATAATATTTTTGTTTTTAGTATTTTATTATTAGATATAGCTAAGCAATTGGTATTTCTCAAATAAAATAAGTTTTCTTTTAATTTAAAATACTTAATCTTGATTTATTACTTAAATATTATATTATTAAAATTTTTCAATATTTTATATATTTTTGTAAAATATTTATCTTTATTATATTTTTAAATTAATTTTTTTTTGTAAATTAAATTAGCAATAACTATTATAATATTTACTAAGTATAATTAATATATAAATATATTTGTAATAATATTATTTTTATGAAATTTATATTAAATTTCAAAATTACTATCTCATATTATTCATCAAATTTATAGTAAAATTATATGATAAATATCTCTATTCTTTTATAAGTTCTCTTTTCAAGCTTTTAACTATTTGAATTTTCTTTTTTTATATATTAATCTTCATTAATTGCTATATATTTTCTATAGAATTTTGATTTGGTAATATTAATAACCAGACAAGTATCTTAATACTATTTGCTATTTTTTATTCTTAAATGATTTTTAAATAATACTTTGAATCATTATCTTTTTGTAAAAACTAATCTAAGTTATCTTTACCAAAAAGTTCAGAATTAAAAGTCAGAAGATTCTTGTTATAGATTTTATATATAAAGTTAGTATTAAGATTTCTTTGAAAGCATATTATCTTACTAAATTCTGAAAAAGAAAAATATTCTTATATATGAATTTTTATAAATACTTAATAATATATAATATTTTTTTCTGCTCAATGAATTGTTAAACTTTTCTTTTTGATATAAATAACTAAAATATACTCTCATTCATAAAAATAATCTTATTTCATCTAAAGATAATGCAACAAGTATATGATATTTAGTTATCACCTATTGTAATATATTATAACTTCAAAATTTTATAAGTTACAACTAGTTATAACTAAAAAATACTTATTTATTATTATATTATAACAGTTAAAAAGTTATCTTTAGTTTTATCCATTTTAGCTATTTTTTTTAGTATTTCTCAAAAAGTAAAGATTTAAAAATTTTATTAACATACTTATTTCTAGCTTTACAAAAATATTATCTTACCATACAAATACTTATTTTAAGATTTAGTTTTTTTATTTTTTTTGTATTTTGTTAGCTATTATATTATATTCTTTTTTTACTATTCTTATAATATATTTATCTTATTTTATTATTATAATATATAAATGATTCACTTTTTCTTTAATATTAAGATCTTTATTTTTTTGATATCTTTTAATTTAATAAGTAGTAATAAACTTATTATAATAAATCTTTTTAACTATTTTTCTAATACTTCACTTCAGACCAGTAGAATATTGATGTAAAAAGATAATTTTATATCTTTTCTTTAGTGAAAGCTCTATTTTTAAAGTTAAAAGTTTGATAATATCTAGATTCTCTAAAAATAAGTATGCAAACCTATAAAAATATTAGTAATCATATATTATATAATACTTTATATATAAAAAATTTAGAGATTTATTATAATATAATTTTATATAATACTAATATTTAGATATTTTTGCTTATTATTATAATTCTTTTTTATATACTAAATAATTTTATTTAACTAATAAAAGCTTTTTAATTCAAAGATTATAGATTAATTATCTTTATTTTAATTTTAATTTAATATAACTTTTATAATAAAATTAGAAATATTTATAATAATTATAAATAATAGTTTAGAATTAAATAATAATAAAATAAATACTATAATAAGATATTATTTGAGAATTTCAAATACTTATTATACTTGAATAAATTATTTATATTTTTTATCTTTATAAAATAATACTATAAGTAATAATACTATAACTAAGAATTTTTTAATAAACTTTTTATAGTAACTTACAAGTTTTAGAAATAAATAAAATTTAGATATATTTATTAATACTAGTCAATTTCTAATTATAATTATTTTTCTTTAATTAACTAAGATCCTATTTGATAAAATAAAATATTTAAGATATTTAATATAGGTTAGTACAAAAAGATTTGTATCTCAAATAAATATTAATAAATTATTTTTTCAAAATAAAATTTTAATTCTGTCTTATTTAATTAA